TTGTGGTAGTTTTTGTTTGTTACCAATTCAAATTACAGAATGATCACTTAGACTGTGATCTGGAGCCTTAAAAGTGATGAATATGAAAGGATATTTGAGGAAACCTTTGCAATCAGATTTTTTATTTTCATTAAAAACTACAAACTTAAATATTTTTGGACATTATTAGGGGTTTTTCTTACAATCAAGCTCCTAAAACGACTGAATGTATTATAAATTATTTTAATAAAACATAATAACACATCCATTCATATTCTGCTATATCCAGACCCTAACACTATCCCATCACGCCATAACCATCAGGATAAAGTGGGGTAGGAAATTCTAAATCGGCATGTTTTTACTTTGAAAGATTTGTTACAAACAATGGTCTTGAAATTGAAAGCATTGAAATTGGAGAATAGATGAGTCAGTACCGGCTTGTAGCTCTCTACTCAAAATATTTAAATAGTTCTAGAAATTTTGGCATTTAGAGATTTCTTGACAAACAACTGACCAAGTCAGGTAGACCCAAGAACAGAGCCTTGTGACTGATGTGTGCAGGTTGGCAGCCACCTATGTACAGACGGGTGCTGATGTGAAGCGTACTATCCTGCGTCTGGTAGAACAGCCTGTGAGACAGATGGGGATGCACTCCCCTCAGCTGCTTAAGCTGGTGGAGGAATGTCCCAAGGGCTCCGAGACTCTGGTCACCCGGATAATACACATCCTCACTGACAAAAGTAAGCTAATGCACTCAATTTTCATATTGTATGATCATGTGATTTTGATTTGTTTGTATTGAGATTAATGTGTTAGTGTTATTTATTGTTTTATGTGAACTGTTACTGGAACACTGTAAGGAAAATATGTTCTCCTTGTACTACATGTTGGGAGAAAAGGTAACCCAGAAGAATTTGAATCTTCAAACACCAAGAGACCAGTAGAACAAATTGACTTAAAGTTATGAATCAGTGGCGGCGATAACAACCCACAGCCCCCCGCAAGTTTGTTGTGATAGGGCCAGGGATCCATGGGGCAAACATATATTTAAAAACAGATTTTTACTCTGTTGATTTTACAAAGTAAACAGTGTCAAAACTTACAACAAAATTCAAAACTGAAAGATGGTAGCAGTGATCATATGATGTGTGAGGTTCACTGTCAATAACCAACTTGTAGATAGATCAGTACTGAACTAATGTTGACTGGTGGAAAGCGGGTTGAAAGGCGACCAGTGGCAACCGGCCAATGGTGAAACAGTGTTGGCAATGTGAGTAGGGTGGTGAGTGAGTAGGGGAAGAGAAGGCAACCACATAAACCTTGACAGGGTTATGTGGTACACAGAATTAATCCTTTTTCAGTGTTCCAATACCAGTTTTATCAAATTTCCCATATTTTTACACTAATGATCTATTAAACTCTTGTTCTATTGCTGTACATAAATATTAAAAAAATTAGAATATTCAAAAATTACTTTTGACACCCACATCATTCCAACACTGATTATATAGTCGTTTGGTGGACCGAAGGAATAATTTGAATTTAAAGAAGTGTAAAATGAAGTTCAAACTAAGCATGTTCCAGTGTGATTTAATGTTTGGTTTGCAGGTCCCCCCAGTGTAGAGTTGGTGGCTCGAGTGAGGGAGTTGTATCAGTCCAGAGTGTCAGACGTGAGGTTCCTCATCCCGGTGTTGAACGGACTTCCGAAACAAGAGATCATCGCAGCTCTTCCAAAGTTGATCAAACTGAATCCCATCGTGGTCAAAGAAGTAAGTAAAACTTGTCCTTGAAAATAACTTTGACATTCTCAGTATTTTTATTGTCTGCAGACAAGACTTGTGTAATCCTGGAAAATGTTAAGTCCTTCTTACATTTCTCTAGTTTTTTTGGGTTCTCAGGGGTTTTTGTGATTGTAATATCTCTTTAACTCAGACCAACTTAACCTAGACCAATCAAAAGACTTTTTTCCTTAATGATGCCTGGATATAACATCCAAACTTTTTAAGTTAACCAATATTCAAAGTCAAAGAATGTTATTTTTAAAACATGAACAAAAGTTTATTTTTTACTATAAAAGGCTGCTCATGCTAACATAACTGTTTTTCTAGGTGTTTAACAGACTCGTTGGATCTCATTCTGAACATTCGTCTCCCATCAGCCCTACAGACTTACTGGTGGCACTGCATGTCATTGACCCGATCAAGTGTGAACTCAAGACTGTCATCAAAGGTCAGTCAGGTGTTTTATAGCCTAAGTGTTGCAAACACTAAGATTAAGATCAAAAGGGTGCTGGGTTTGAAAAATTCTTGGTTATTGGAAACAGGGTAAAAATCCAATCTAAGGTGTGATATAGTTCATTATTCTTAAATATGCATAATTTACATTACCATATAATTTTAATACATAAATTCAAATTGTAACTATTGAAGCTGAATGTTTTAGTTCCTTAAATTGGTTGCTCGCAGGGTTTTAATAATACCTACTGTATGGTCCGGTACAACTTGAAACATTCATTTATTGTTTTACCAAGAAATCCGAAGTGCCGGTTGTCAGGTACTGATTGTGTGAGTTTTATGTGTTTGTTGCGCAGCTACATCACTGTGTTTTGCTGAGAAACAGGCGTACACACAGGAGATCCTGGCCATTGTCATACAACAGCTGATGGAGATCACTCCGTTGCCCACACTGTTGATGAGGACGGTCATACAGGCCTTGTCTCTCTATCCGAGACTCATCGGCTTCGTCATGAATGTCCTTCAGAGACTGATACTTAAACAGGTCAGTCTCATGGTGTACGTTGTTGTAATATAGTTTATTATATATAGTAAAATTGTAATGATTCAAACTTCAACCAATCAGCTGTTCAGGCCAATTTAATTGTTGAGTGGTGCAATTAATGTTTGGTACAATGTTTCGTTGCATCATTGTCAGTGGCAATGAGAGGTTATAAACGAAAACATAACCTCTCATAGAAGTTATGAGTAGTGATTTTTAGTAATTTAAAACACTGTTGTAGGTAAAGTAGTGTACGCAACTCGCATAGTGTTAACGACACTCGTCTAGTAGTTTTTAAGGCACTGTCGTTAACACTATCTTTATGCAATCATTGCGTAAACTGCTATTTTGAATATACAAGATATTTGCAAACGTATATGTAACATAACTGTTGGCCAACAGGTATGGAAACAGAGGAAGGTATGGGAAGGATTCATCAAGTGTTGCCAACGCACAAAGCCACAGAGTTTCCAGGTGCTGCTTCAGTTGCCACCGGCGCAGTTGGCAGACGTGCTGGAGTCTTCACCTGACTTGCGCCAGCCGCTGCGGGAACATGTGTTGAGCTTCACGGACACTCAGGTGTGTATTACCCAACATTGTACAACTTACTAAAATAATCATTTAACTAAGACGGTGATGTACTTTGTGTACGTATGTAAGTGAATACAGGATAAGTGTAGAATGTGGTGAGGTGATCTGTGTAGCTTTGTTACGGACTAAGCTTTTACAAGAGTATAAATTTCCCAATTCATTCAAGATTTCTTGGGTATTTCTCGTTCTATAACCAAAAGAGTTTTCGTCCAATTTGCCAATCATACATGCAAAACCACTCACAAAGCTAGTACCACTGGCCACTCCTATAGCCAACCATGCAGTTTATTCCCACCAGATCATCTGAGAATTATTTTGGTTGTAATGTTTCTGATTAAATATCGGCATTTAGCAATCATCATAACAAACATTTTGTGTTTAAACCTGAGATTTGTGGTCATTGCCTTGTGTCGACACACTCAAACGCTTGGAAGTAAATAGTCTTTCTGATCGCCAAGGGTCAGATACACCTACACTCATGTAACTGTTGGTGACTTGTAATTCTACTCTGTGATTGACCTGAAGTGTATAATGTTCCAGAGAGCCTACATCCCTCAACCAGTGATGGACATTCTGATGGGAGGGATGCCAGCTCAGTTTGAGCAGTTCAACATCAAGCAAGAGCCTGTGAGTTTTGTTCAGATTTTTTACAACAGTATGATTTTTTTAGTTTAGCCCGTTCCTGTCGTGTTATGACAGTAGAACGTATTGAGTAGGCCTATTTCAAGGTTTTGATGACATTTGGTGACCGCTTTTAAGTTTGTAGCTCAGCAAATTCACTATAATGTTTATAGTATACTAGTCAAACAGTCAACAGAATTGTCACTGATTGGACATTACTTCTGTCAAGTAAAAATAAAAATAGAGGTACAAATTTGTTATTGAACTCCTACCACAATGTTCAAACAGTTTATTAGTGTAAAATAAACTGTGCCATGTAGTGTAAAATTAGAATGCAAAGCAAGGTTGATCAATGATTATTTTATGCTGAATGCTGTAACGGAAAAATCAGATATATATGAATTCATTGGGATGATCAAATAAGATTTTTATCAAGATTGACTTCTTATCAAGGTTTGCAATAACATGTAATTAAGGGTTTGAAATCAATGGTATTGGAAAATTACTCTTGTTATCGAGGGACTTCTTATTATGCAAGGGATTGCATAGGAATTTGAAGAGGAGAAGCTTTATTTTGAGAAAGAAGTTTTACATACTTGTGAAACTGAAATTGCTAAATTCATAATGAATTAAATTAAATATTTCAATTCTAAACTTTTAGAAAGTCACTGTCACTCAATAAATGAAATTTAACGTTTATTTATCATGAATTGTTTCATTTCAGAGCTCTCCCCCGGACTTGACCATAGATATTAAAGAAGAACCTCCAGAAGAGGTCGAACCAGCACCTCCTGGGATGGACTAGAGTCAAGATAGATCAATGTTGTTTGAGAAAATAAATATTTTATACAAAATGTTTGTATATTTTTGTTGTAGACATTAATAGAAAAAATGAATAGTATATTTCCTAACAGGATAAGGATAAATTTACAGTTTTCTTAAAGCGTATTGGATTTAAGAAGTTTTTGATAGCAAGAAATATTTCAGTAATGCCAACTTTATAAAACCATAGTTACTTGCTGAAAGTTCAAAATTTATTTCTTTATTCATTACCCTCTGATTGTAAATTATTCCAAATATTTGTGTGGCTATCATTATTTAAAGGATGGATTCAAATTTCTTTGGACCTCCTCCAAAGTCTCCATTTTATCAAGGAATATGTAGGCCTACTGAGACTCCATATCCCAACCCTTTTTTGTAAGTGTTTTCTTCAATGTTTTATGAATACCTTAATTTTACCATTGACTATTCTTATCATCTTTTTTTATTATGCATGACCTTTACAACTATGTATAACTTGATAGGAGTTCACATTTGAAAATTTTGACTCACCCCAAACTACCCCTTTGGGGGACAAATTTACATTTACCAAAAAGGGTGGGGGATGGGACTTTTGAGACACATAGACAGCATATTTATCCCAAGGAGAGAAAAAACAACAGGTTCTACTATCTGTGCCACATTATTTGATAAGATACTGTGGAGATATCTAGATATTAGGAAACATGAATAGATAGATACACAATATTTTGATCCTCCAGGGGGCTTCTTCAGAAGAAAAATGGCAGTTAAAAAACGAAATTGAATATAAAATTAAATGCTTTGAACTTTTTTGTCCATTTCTTCTTTATCCCTACTGTGTCATAAAACTAAATAAGTCTCAAAGCTTATAAACGTCTTATGTCTCTATAGTTCAGTCCCAGCAGTCAATTGGAATCCACAGCCCCCCTTTTGGTTCTCAGGGGACCCTCACAGTCCCCTGTTTGGCTATCCAGTAGGGGACCCAGATGACTATAGGTTTGGAACTCTCTCTCAACCATTGTCTGAAAAGACGTTGCTGGAGGAAATGGAAATTGAAAGACCAGAACGATACCTGCCTGGTGAAATATACAGGAATGAAACACCTAAAAGACCAGTTGAAGACTTATCCAAGACAGCTAAGTATGTTAAAGTCAATCAGTTGGCATTGGAAAGTGGATAAAAACTATTCTTGAAGCTGTGTTATGAATAAAAAATTTTAATTTTAAGAAACTATTAGCTTACTCAAAACTAAGTTCCTCAAGACTGTTGCCAATTTAGTTTGACATCTACCGTGACACCTAGAAATTATTTTGTAGCTATTTCATATCATCTAGGGCTGACCAGTACTGTGACAGGAATTCTGGATGTGTTTGTTTATATGTTTACTGATCCATGAGTGGCAGGATGAAAATTTAAACGTGAGAAATGTTAATTTAAGTTGAACAGAAAAGCCTTCTAATTCTGCAATAATACTCTTTCTATTATCATTATTTATCAACCAAAAATAATTCTCAGTTGTTGGTTTTCTAACAGTTTATTTTTAAGAAGATAGTATTGGAATGTAACTTACTACTTAAATTACTTGTACTTTTTACATAACAAAAAATAGTGCATCAGAAAGTGTATAATCTACCCTTAATAAGAGAACATAAAATAATATAATAAGCAATTTCCTTAAGTAGCTGCTTATATCATTTTCAATATTTATCAAATCTCGACGATTATTGTCATGATGAAATTTAGTTTACCTTACCAACCCAGGGTTTACCATTGTAACAGTAAAATGTTATAATACTAGCAATAGTTTCCCATGTCAAAGAGAATTGTAAATTTTAAATAATTGCCTACTTAACTCCTTGCAGCTGCCCCAAAATTTGGACCCCTAAAGATCCCCTCTTTCACACAGAGTTCAAACCCAGTAGAGAAATGATGAATCCTCCTCTGCTGCTAGACGGAGTGCTACGGAGGAAAGCAGAAACACTCGAATCTTTTAGGATCCCTGAAAAACCTGTAATTGAACAGTCTTGTGAAGGGGTGGAAGACGCTGAGACTAAAGCGATAAAAAAACCAAACTATTCTGACATCCTACGACATGCAGACACAAGAACAGCTGATTTCAAATGTGAGCCTGAAGATAAAGTTGAGTTTTACGATGCTTGTAAAATACCAAACACTCAATGTAAAGCGCCTCCTTCAGTGATACAGAATGAGTGAGCTACCCATGAGATACAATTGAACTAAGAAAATCTCCAAAAATCAATATTTAAATCGAATAAACTAAATTTGTAGGTGTGTATGTAATAGCAATTTTTTTATATATATACACAGAATGTTTGTGTCATTAAGATAGATTTTATTTTTAAGAAACACAAGTTCTTCATAAAGTTCTTTTAGGTACAAATAGTGTACTCATGTTATAGATTACCATGACATTGTTTGACATATCAAGATGTTGAAGAGCATGATAGATTGACCAATCTCACCCCAATTGATAAAGGGAGGGAGGGTTTTAGGACTTGAGTCATGAAGACGTTTTGTTGGCTCTTTCCCCCAGATTAAGTTTTAGGAATACAGTCATATTGCATTACCACTTCTGTCCAACAAAATTGTCGTCATATTTTGTTGGGTGTGGTTCACAAACTTAAAAATTAGGGCCGAAAATAGGTTTTGCCGGCTCGAGATAGTTTTTAAGTCCGAGACGAAGTCGAGAACTTAAAACGATAGAGAGATCCAAAACCATTTTGGTCCGTGGTACGAACGCTATTTTTCACCACACTATTACACCCTAATACCACTATTCACCACAAATAGAATGTACCCTAACAGTCAACACAACTATGTGAAGAAATAATTTGAGGAATCAGCAAAAATAATAATAAATAGTTGCTAGGCAACGGTGATATTGACTGTGTATTTAATATGCATTCATGTTTTATGAAAGTAAGCGGACAATTGATTTTGTGGCCCTAGGGATGTAAAAACCTGCTCGGTCCCCAAATGATGATGACAGCCATCGATATATAATACTCTATACATTATTATACATAGGGAGTTATACAAAGATAATGACAGCTGGCATGGCCAGCAAAACGTAACTTTCAGCCACCAATTAACGTATGTAAAACAGCTAAAAACATCATAGTGTGGTGAACAAGTTATTACGACATAGCTAAATCTATAGGCAAGCACGTTTCTATAAAACCTTTTTTCTTAGCTCGTGTGCATCGCAGGGAAAATCTAGATACATACTGTTGGAAAGAGATTTTCCTGGATATGTGCAGAATCCCTTTATAAATTAAAATAGGCTCAAAAATAAGCACAAAAATGAATTTTAAATTTAAACAAATTAACATGGGCCTTATGAGTTGCCATGCTGGTAAAAAATAACAGCAAAATGTAAACAGAAAATAAAAACAAATGGGAAGAAATCCCAATCACGTGTCTTATTTACAGTTTGGGGCGAAATAGAAAAGAAGTATGTACATCACACAAAATATTTCATCGAGTTTTTATCACTGGACGACCTCTAGACAGATCATAAATAAGAAAGTATACGGTAAAACACTCATCTTGAAACTTAAAAAATCACACACTTACTTAGGTAAAAGTTACGACTTTCGGCTTTTCAAATAGTTTTTCTACATATATTTCCTGTGGATTTTCAGTCGTGATAGGCCAAGAGAGGTAGTCAATGTACAAGCTATTATAACTTTCTGCGAGTATCAGTACTATCTACTATCAGTGGCTAGAGAGAGAGGAGTTAAAAAAAATGATTGTATGTTCTGACAAATTTAACATTGCTCTTATGGGACTAAAATCCAATATGGCTACCACTGATGAAGACTTTAGCACACTGAAACTATACAGTCAAGAAGAAATGACATTCTAAGCAAAATCTTGGACAAAAAGTCTTGTGTCTCCGATGGGATTTGATCTGTAATACCTCTTGCACTTCAGCCGAGAACTCTATCCACAAACACCGGTAGCTGCTCATTACCAGCCAGCTCAGAAAGAAGCAGACGAATTTGATTACGCCAGTCGCGAGAAACAATGACGTCATCATCTTCATCCCGAGAGGCTCATCTCCTTCAGCCGCGTTCGATGTCCGGAAGCCTATACAGTAGTTGAAAGTTGAATAAAATTAACTTGAAACCAGCTTTGATATAAAAGTTTTGTAATCCAAGTTTAAAACAGTGTAATTACAAGTAGGCCAATTTTAAAAATGTTTTTCAAACAAGTTTTAACTCCCTATAGTCAATGCTTTAATAGAATACCGCAGTTAAGTATTGATGCATCTCTATAACTAGCCAATTTCAATTTTAAGAGTTTAAGATTTGTTTTAATAAAATTTTTTAGTCTAATCTAGTAATGTATGTTCTTATTATAGAGGTGACATATTTTTGATATAAAAAATCGTTCTATTTACTATTTTCTGTGATCCTAGTGAAAATAAGGAAAATGTATTAAAATAAATAACATAATAACCACAAATCTTTAATTAGGCCTATAATACTAATTACTAAATGTTTTGCAAAAACTAGAGTGCGGTTCTCGTTTGATTTTTGTTTAACAATCTGTGATATGGTGAGGATTACTTTATTTTAATCGATGTTTTAACATCGATTTTTGCAGTACGATATATATCGAGCATCGATGTTTTTACCCAAAAAGATTTTTACAGTACGATATATATCGAGCATCGATGTTTTTACCCAAAAACATCGATTGTTGCTCTTAATAGGTTATCAGCGGTTGTTTATGTAGTTTTATTGCCAAACCTGAACCAGAAACGCATTGTTTGAGCTATAATATTTTTTATTTTGAACAAAATTTTACATTAACGGTATAATTTAACTGACTAGATAAAGTAAAATAGTCTGAACAAAGGCAAATGAGATGGACACGGCAGACGACAGCTCGCTACAAATCACTCCCTGCTGGCCTGCGTGCTGCAGAAAAGTATAATAATTATTTTTACCGATTTATTTGACTTATTTTGCAATTTTACACCAACCTTAATATGTAATATGAGGTTCTTTTTATTTGATGTTAATTTAACATTTTGTTTTCAGTTAAAACGTTTGTTAGATCAATAAAACATATTACTTAATATGGATTTGTTTTTATTAAACATTCTTATACTTATCGGTGGTGTTTCAAAATTTTTACAAAATCCAAATGTTTAAATATCAATGTTAAATAAACTAAAAAAACAATAAATTATTGTTTTATAGTGTTCTTTTGTTGTTAGAATGTTATTTACTTGCGCTACTAGCATTTCCACTCTTCATTTACATGATTTTTCTCGTCGATGTTAAAACATCGATGTTTAGGACTCGATATTTATATTCCATCGATTTCTTTTGATCGATACATCGATGATTATAGAAATTTTTCCATCTCTAAATACCAACCACCTACCACGAGAGAACACAGAATAGAAAATACCACTACTACTAAAGGCCCCGCTCGCACATCTTACGTAGTATTGTTTTATAAGCCAATCATCGAACTTAGGTTAAAGTTACGACTTTCGGCTTTCCAAACAATTGTTTAATAAACCTGAAGATGTCACTAAGAAGCACGAAACAGCTGTAGTACCATAAGGGAGAGCCAAATGAGGTAGTCAATATACATGGTACTGAAAATCGCTGCGAGTGTCAGTTCTTACAGAGGTGTCTTAATCATTTATTAATGCTTTTAATCTAAAGAAATTTAGGTTAATTAATAGATAAATTTATAGACAACTTGTTTATTTATGTAACTACAGCAAAGTCTGTTTTTATTACTATTTATAAAATTCAATTTGTTAAAAAATATGACAATGGAGTAAGGAATCAACTTAAGAGACACCTAGCGGTGACTAGGCGAACTGTTGCGAACCTCGACGGTAGCACATCTAGCGGTGATTGGCCGAACTATCATCTCAGTGCTTTACCAACCTGCAATGCCATTATGATAGTTTGTTAACTATGTGATTGTTATGCCACGTGTGATAATAATAGTATATTTCGTACCTAGGGCCGAAAATGAGGTTTTGCCGGCTCGAGATAGTTTTTAAGTTCGAGACGAAGTCGAGAACTTAAATCGATCGAGAGCTGCAAAACCATTTCGGTCCGTGGTTCGAACGCTATTTTTCACCACACTATACCCTATTACCACTATTCACCACTATAATAATGCACACTGATAGTCAACACAACTACAACTTTAAGGTTATGTGAAGAAATAATTTGAGGAATCAGCAAAAATAAAAATAAATAGTAGTTAGGCAACGGTGACAATAACACAATTATGTTGCAATGCTATGGATTTTGATTGTGCATTTAAAATGCATTCATGTTTTAAGTAAGTAAGCGGACATCTGATTTTGCGGCCCCGGCCTGTAAAAACCTGCTCGGTCCCCAAATTACGATGACAGCTGGCATGGCCAGCAAAACGTAACTTTCAGCCACCAATTAACGTATGTAATACAGCCAAAAACATCATAGTGTGGTGAAATAATTATTTTCAGTTATTAAACCAAAATATCACTGTTAAATAAGTTTGTTGTTTTATAATTTAATTGAAATGTTTGTTTTATAGTTTAAGATTATCTCGGGAGCAGAACCTCTCTGCTCTTTGGACAAACTGTCAAATAAAAGTATTTACAGCTGACTTCAATTGATATATTTTTATATTTACATTCTTCCAAAATGTTAACATAGAAAACTTGGAAGCCCACGGGGCATAACCCAAGGGAAATATGAAAATAAAAATAATATAATATTGCATTGCCATCCATTTGTGAGCTATGTTTCAACGGAAGTTGGTTTGAAATCGATTGAAAATTTTGTACCGAACAGACAAAAGTGAGCTAATAAAACGTATCATTTTATTTTCATATTTCCCTTGGGCTTCGCCCCAGTGGCTTCCAAATTTTCAATGTTTACAATTAATATTGTCTTTTTAATAAAACATTTTCATTAGCTCGCTTTTTTGTCTGTTCGGTACACATTTTGCAATCGATTTTATAAACTAACTTCCTGATGTGCTATAGACTTGAAACTTGAGTCATAGGCCTAGCTAACAAATGGATGACAATGCAATATTATATCATTTAATTTCCATATTTCCCTTGGGCTACGCCCCATGGGCTTCCAAATTTTCAATATTAACATTTTGGAAGAATTAGTCGGGGGGCAAACTGTATTCCGTGGGATTTTTTGTGAAGGGAATGTGTGACTATGTGAAATCTCTTTATTATATGTCACATAATGGTGTAGTAC